TTGACACTGCTGCTAGTGTTCTTCTGAGTGCTAGGGGCAGTCTCGACTTTTGCTGCAGAGCCTGTAGGAGCATGGAGTTTGGGCGTAGAGAACCCGCTTGAGGGATTAGAGCCGGGGGTATGCTGGATGTCTTTACGATGTGCTTCGTCCATGGCAGGTGCAAGCTTCACGAGCTCTTTTCGCAACTGTTTCTCGAGTACAGAGCAAATCAGATCTTTGACGGGCTGCTTCTCTTTTGACTCGGAATGGATGTCGATCTCAAACTATCTTGTCTTAGTATGTGAGTTTATATGTGATACCTAGTACATACTTTGTAATCTTTCTCTTCCGAATCACCATCGATATCGGATATGGTGATAGTTCCCGACACATCGTCTGCCTCAGGTGCGGATCCTTGAATAGGTTAGAGACAGGATCCCCAGGCGAAAGATGCCAGTCCTTTGGAGCGTACCTGAGAATTCAAGCACAAGCTTCACATCAAAAAGGGTTTTGACAATTCCCTTTCGTTGGCTTACATCCGCGTCACCGTCCATGCTGATCACCTTGCTAATCTTGGCTGTAACTCCATCTTTTTCAACTGAGAACTCGGTCTTGGTCAAGTTCTCCTGAAACCAGTCTTGTGTCCACTTAGAGACATCCTTGGTGACCCAATGCCAGTTGTTGGGGTTGTGAAGGGCCATTGTGACACAAGCGGCAGTAGCGACGTTCGGCAAGACGTGTCTAGAGAAGATGCTGCAAAGCAAATGTCCGCGTTAGCAACTGTCAACACGTACTACGTCGCTCCAATAAAGCAGGATCAGGCAGAACGGGACAAGCGTTTGAAATCAGATATCGGCCTCGAAGGACCTCAGCATATTGGTCATCAATGAAAGGGAGTACAAGTCGCTCTATGACTGGTGCCAGCTGGTGTGATCATCAGGAGAAACGCTACAATTGGAAAGTGGAAGAGCATCTAGGGCAGAATGCCATCAAGAAAAGCAAAACAAGATGACGGAACAAACAAAGAATCAATAGGAACATACGTACCAATGCAATGGGTGACCGATGGACGGGACGAGGTGAGACGAGGTAGCTACTCGGTTATCATCCGGTGAGCGTGGAAGGGAAAAGGTGGTGGTGGAGGAATGGTCGACATGGGGGGCTCACAAGCCAACTGACCCTTTTGATGTTGGAAAACGCGATGCCGCCGAAAGAAAGCTCTAGAAATTCTGTCTCAAGAGCTGGCTGGGGTCCTGCTAGGTATTTAAGCCTTGGTGAAGGAGGAAAGAGGGACCGCCCAAGATTTGCTGGAGGGGGCCCTAGATCGGCCCAATATCGGTCCGTCAAACACTAACTAGCGACACTAAATGACTTAGATGACATGCAGGTTTCAGTCCGAGAATTTCTCTCACATCACATGCAGCTGTCTCGACATTACCCGACAGCTGTATTAGCATTCGGTTCAATCCGCACTAGGATAATTCAGCTTAGACTGTGTTTTACTCGAAAGCGTCTTTTACAAGAAACAGTCTATCCATATCCAGATGGAAACTCGAAATAATAATCGATGTTCGTAATAAGGGCAAATCAGCCCAAACTCGACATATTGCATGGCTGGCTATTGAAGCCAACATCATATTTTGTGGCGAAAGAAACAACAATGCCGGATAGCTAATGACTAAGCAATCAGAGAGTTCGGACGTATCAAATAATCGATGTAACAAGGCATCTTTTTAGTCTAATATCGGTCATGAAATGTTGGTTGCGATTATTTATTGCTTCCTTACAAAATTTCAGTCGCATTCTCTATGTCAACAAGTTAAGCAACTCTTTTATCCTTTAGCTAAACTCTAGAAAATCTAAGTCTAGGTTTATAGCTTATGTTGACACATATGGTGTGCCGTATGGCTCGAGTTTGACGCCATCAATATCCATGAACCCGTATTTCGATCCGTCAGCATTGTTCGCCATATCTGTTTGGTACTTTTGCATAGCCTTATCGAAGGCCTCTCTATGTTCAGGCTTGCCCAAATCCAACGGCTCCTTATCTTGGCCCACTATCCGAATCCTAACACGAAGCACTCAGGTTAGCTGAAGTGTAACAAACGACCCAGATAGAGTCACTGGGCAGTCTGAATCGGAAGAGGCACTTACTGAACACCCGCGGCAAAAATACTGAGGGCAAAGTCCTGCTCATCAATTGCGGGATCGATAGCACCCTTAGCCTTGCCCTCTAGCAATTTCTTAGCAAAGTCAAATTCCCATGTAGCCGGTCGACCTAAACCGATACCGTGCACAGATTTGAGTGCCTCGACCATCGCAGCTGCTGTACGAAACCCCCCGGTAACATAGACCTTTGTACGTTTTAGCTGCGGGACGATCATCTCGGCGAATTCAATGAAGAACGCCTCGCGCTTCTTTGTAGATTCTCGCTTGTGTGAGAAGGCCAGCTCTTGATACGTGCCTCCGGAAAGCTCGACGAAATCGAATCTATGCTTCTCAAGCTCGATGCAAAGATCTCGACACTCCTCTGGTGTGAAACCTCCTTCTTGGAACTCCACACTGTTGAGCTTAATTCCAATGATAAATGACTCGTCCTTTACTCGATTCCGAATCTCGTCTACGATCTCGAAAATCAGACGCGCTCGGTTTAATAGCGAGCCACCGTACTCATCAGTTCTCTTGTTCGTCGTTTGAGACAAGAACTGGGCCAGTAAATATCCACTGCGATACGTTAGTCAAAATTCGACAGTGGCACCTGATAACCTGGGCTGACACTTACTGAGCACCGTGGAGCTGGACTCCATCAAACCCGGCCTTATGCAGATATTCAGCAGCATAGGCGAAGTGATCAATAACATCCTTAATATCATTCTTGTCCATAGCTCTTGGTTTGGCAAACGTCGAGCCCATCGTCACGCCCTCAAGTTGAACATCGCTAGCCGAAACAGGGTGTGGTTGGACAAAGTCAGGGACCTGCCGGCCAGGGTGAGATACCTGGGCGACGAGAAGACTGCCATGAGCCTTGGATTGTTTGGCAAGTTCTTGAAACCCCTCAAACCGCTCACCCGCGGTGGGTGCGTCTTTCGGAATTATGGCATTACCTGGCGCCTCGAGCTGATCGTAGTATAAGGTGACATTTCCCGTTAATATTACCCCCAAGCCACCCTCTCCCCACCGCCGGTAAGCATTGATGAGCTCCTTCGACGGGATCCCACGTTTTTGTACTTCTTTCGGATCCCACGATGCCAACCGCTCGCTCATTGCCCCCTTCAGGAAGCGATTAGGGGCTGTCTTGCCGCTAAATTCGAAATGTAGCGGTTGACCCAAGGGAGACGGGTCGACGTCTGGTCCAGGGATACGTTTTGGTGCCATGATGCTATGAGAGACCTGTCGATAAAGTACTAATGGTTTTAAGTCTAGATAGGTATAGAAAGCTCTTCATCTATTCCGTGGGTCAAGACAACAGCGTGCCCCATGTTAATTTATATCCGTTGAACAATTTAGGTCACCTAGTATCAGGTACCCGCTATCTCGTCACCATTCATTCGGATTGATTAGAATAGAGTATACATAGGTGACGTTGGGATGTGGATGGGACCCGCTAGCAACGGGACAAAAACTGAATAATTCACCAGATCCGGTGTGGTCCCGGGCTATCTACCGAGTCAATCTATCCGCCGAGGCCCACCAATAACCTTGCCTATTCAAAATCTACTGGGAAAGTCATCCCAAATGATGTTTAGGCAGAGAAATGCATCTCTTGAATGAGTCGGATCGGGCAGTCGGATCGTATGATAGTAATTTGTAATCTCCCATTACTAATCGTATATCCCCTGGGAGAAAGAGCACTTTTCAAAGCGGATATAAGATACACTATAATAGTGATAGTTTGTTTATACATAGTATGGTACCTAAAGACCGATTTGATGTCTACTTCGTAACAAACCTCTTCAACCCTGTTACTTTCATTGTTAAGCCGAGTTTGTGATATGTCTCTGGACATTACTTCAAACCCAGAAATAATAGGAATTCCTCGGTGGTAACTATCATTTCAGGGCTGATAGTGTCGATTTACTAAGGTCGATTTTGCTCATTAAACCCGAACGATACCTAGAATTTTCAACATTCTGAATCCATACTATCTTGTTTTTTGGTAGGTCTCACGTTCTCTTGCCTATAACGGGTCAAAACTCAGCAACCTTGTAGCTAAGAGACAGGGTCGTTGAGAACGGTGAACGAGTAAGCAGAAATTAATCCTGGGTGTTCGACAACGTGGAATTTCATCATTAGTTGAATACAGTTCCTGAAGCCAAGTTGCAAGGGCAACTCTCATTAGGCATCAATGATGTTTACTAACGGTACTAACTAATTCTATCGTATACTTATTTACTAGCCTTGGCGTATCAACTTCCGGTTTACTACGTAATTGACTATTTTCTCTCCCTCAACTACTCCGTACTTCCGATTTTTCTTTTTGCTGATAGATTAACTAATACCCTGAGCGTTAGGCGTGATATCCAGGTAGTTTAGACTAGTTCCGTTAAGCATCGGAGTTTTCCCCATATCTGGGGGGCTGACCGCTTTAGCCCCACACGTATCTTGATGATATGACCTCGCTGTCAATTGATTTCTTTCAATCAGTCATACCGGTGATCCAGGTTTGAGATGTTATATACGTGCAATTTTCCTCTAGAATCCCCACGGCTCCGTGGATATTAGAAGTGGAACAGCGAGACTGCTTACGTGGGTGAATATAATGGGCTCGATATGTAAGCATCCTTGCTGTTGACGTCCACTTTTATATCCACGGAGTCCGGGGGGAAGTCTCTGAAGGATGAGAAGACATCGCCAATGCCGATGCGGCTGGCAAGTCTGACTAATAGCTTCACGGACATGGATGGAGCAAGACTCCACCGAAACACCTCCACAACCTCGGCAAATACCCGAAAATTTGCTTTGATCACAAACCTGAAATTCAGTTCAGGTCCCGCTTTACACTCCGTGTATCTCATGAAACTGGCTCCTTGGTCTAGAGGTATGATTCTCGCTTTGGGTCTACTCAACATCCAGAATTTGCGAGAGGCCCCGGGTTCGAATCCCGGAGGAGCCCGGTGTTTACCCGCGAGTCAATTGAACGCAGCATCAGTGGTTTAGTGGTAAAATCCATCGTTGCCATCGATGGGCCCCGTGTTCGATTCACGGCTGATGCAATAATTTTGCGGAACTACACTGCGTTAGCTACAAGTCTCTATCTCGATTGAGTACTGGTCTCATGTATATCATGAAGACTTTTTGCCCAATAAAAAGGGGCCTCCAGAGACATGCTTATGGCCTGACCAGCTTATACACGGGAATTTCTTTGTTGCACAGTGTCAGTACATGAATGGATATATTCTCGATGTTGCTCACATGAGAATTGGGTAGATCTAGCTTACAGGTATCTATAAGAGAAGGGCACGTAGATAAGTTACCAATGAAGTGAGCGGTGTTAACTTATCATGAAATCATAAACTTAGTTTTCCTAGAGGATCTGCCTGGTATGATAAAATATTTTGTTATTGCTAAATAATTGATTATGCTCTCTTCGTCTGCGATAGATAATAGCGACTAGCAGCTAGCTGTCAAAAGCCACGAAAGCAATCGTTATACTAAACCTGGATCGGCGTAATTAGATACTTGGAAGTTGAAATTACAGACTACAGTCATTGTTGTACAAGATAGTCTTTACGCTGATATCAGACACCAGGAGTTACTGTCCTGGTGTCGATGGAGAATTTTAATTTTACGTTTCTCAGGATAAAAGGCTTGTCGACTTCCACATTATTTCAGCGCGGTGTTAGCATATCGACTGTCAGAGGTAAGTGCCCAGAAACTCTGGGCCCCAGAGTGAATAGAGAAACCTGTCTACAGCCAGGGAGGTAGTTAGGGCTCAATAAAGTGATCTATTGATTCCTGAACTACTCAAATCTAAAGGGGGTTCAGTCACTTATATACACGGAATCTACTAGTTCTTCACTATAGGGTAGCCGTGAACTAGTTCCCTGACATCGACACACGATGAGATATTTAAAACAGAGAATCTGTCGATCAGCAAGCATATTCAGAATTATAGCTTTTGTAGCGTACATAATATAAGCTAATGCCAGTCTCTCTTGGTGCCAAATTCTGAAACCCTGTCCTCACTTATTGGTCTACCACATATGTAACATTCAAAATTTGAAGGTTATTCAGAGCTGCCTCGTTCATATGTTATTTCCTCTAACTCGATATTACTCAGTGTACATCCCCAGCTACGTTTTATGTGTTCGGATAATACATGTGAAGGGATGAAGATGGCCTTCAAAGAAATTAATTTGTATGTGACCCCAGAAACAGCAGAAGATGAGGCGGCAGCATATATAAATTTATCGACATTATCTCTTTCTAAATCACATTTGCGGACCCAGCCACTCACTTCTATGTGGAGTGCCGTAAGGTTATCTCAACAATAAATAACATGACTTCTGTGTTGGAACTAAAGTCTGAGGACATGGCAATCGTATGTACTTGGAATTGCTCGACATAATTAACGCTACGATGTGCGGGATGTAATTATATTATACACTAGTAGATTCAACGTTCCAGTGTTGGGGTAAAGCCAGGCATCATGATTGCAGCTTAGAGTATGGAATTGTGGAAGCTAGTGACGGCTTCGAAAGACCAATACAAGATTTGGTAGTGATTCGTGTAATGATCCATTCATATGGATGTACAGGATTTGCGGCGGAAAGTGCGTAAAAGAGATTGTCTACAAATGGTACCCAGATTACTATCAAGCTCAAAAGATTACACATTTGGCATGTAACACATATCTTTCAGCCCATCAAATTTGCCAGAGGGAAATGGGTAGCCTGCCTTATCGCTCGGCTATTTATATCCGCCTCGACATTGCTAGTATATTAATGTCAACTTCATAGAGGGGATGGGAATTAATGTAATTTACTGTCTAAATAGTTATTTACCGGTCACATAAAATATCTGGTCGATCCTGCGAATCGCAGGGAGTGTAAGGAACTCTAATTTCGGACCTCTAGACCTGTATTAGTTTCGGAAGCTTCCATACCAATTCTTCATCATTTGGAAGCACATTGTAGTCGAGAACATAATGATGCATGGCTACGTACATGTGTTCCATCTTGAGATTATCAAAATTATTCCGACTTTGCTGAGCGGTATGGGGGCGGGCCGCTATATCATCAGATTCAAATCTTCTGATGCTATTTTGGTATGCTGCGATGATAGCTGCTAACGCTTAAGTAATGCTTTTGGTGATTGAGTACAGGACTAATTGCAGCAGAACACTTAAGCTTTTTCTTTATCTAAACATTCGGCAACGACCGTGATACGGCAATCCTCAAAGTTTGGGTCGTCATGCAGTGTGCAACATGCTTGTGCTGTTGGTGGATCACCCAGAGGCGGACCCAGGCGGTCGGCTCACGACGAGACCAAAATCCACATCCCGCGTTCTATTTTTGCTCCAGGCACTGCATGATTGTATGCATTATCACAAGCTCTCCATGTATCGTTGCTTGATTTAGTGATTGCTGTTTATATATAAAGTCGAATGCTGGACCACATGGCATATTTGGTGAATGTAACTCAAGTAGTATCTCGTCAACTCTGCGGGTTCTCACGGATGATCTGATCAAGTTCGATAACCTGACCGCTCTGCAGCAGGGGATTCCACCAATGGACCATATTCCATATTTCGACTAACGACTTCTCCAGATGGGTCCTTCGTCACACTTTGTTTCTATTTTCGGATCTACCCACCGGAAGGCTACTGTAGTATTTTAACACCAACACTCAAGTAGATGGCATTGCCGATTATCGGGTGTTGGGTTGCGGGGACTGGTAAGCTCCACTACGATACGTCTAGTTACTTATTTATACTGCTTGCAATGCCCTAAAATAATATATTAATCACAAGCGCTCAGTGAAGCCTTCACGTTACTATACTTAAGTTGAGAATAAACATATCACCGTTGATGATTGGGGTGACCTTGACTTGGGGTCCAAACCTTTGTTCTCGGAAGCCTCGAAGATCCGAAGTGAGACGTGCGCGTGTCTTTAATTAATATCTATACACTTGTAATACCCTTCGTCTTAGTAGAGGTTGGTGACTTTGCAGCGGGCCGGACGGCAAGCGGTCTGACTGCAGGCCTCTGACAGCTTATTGACCCCTTAGCGGCATGCTGTATAACAATCCTTCCTGGGATAATCTACTGTAGCTTGTAGCACCAAACTTTGGGGCTGAGTTATAATTCGCTGCAAATCATATGTGGTGCCTCGCACTCTCGAACCGGAAGAGTGAAGGGCCAACATTGCAGACATAAAGAGGGTGTAGTGGTGTTGTATTTCTCTCTGCTCATCACCTTTTTTGGCCACCCTTTTGCTGTCGTGTAAGCGCCAGGCACGACGAGGGGCAGGAGGGGCCTGAAGAGGCGAGCCAATAAGGGTCGTTCTAGCCTTAGAAGCCCAAATATAGCCTGGCATCAGCTGCCCAGAACGCCCAATCGCCGGCACAGAGTCTAACAGGGGCTAAACTGCCATATGTGTGGGAACCTTGGCGTCGTCGAGGTCTTCCCGCGCTTTTCTTCAATAGTCTCTTTGTGCTACTATACTACTAGTTGTAACTACCTAGTCGTCAAGCAGCAGCATGATCTTTAGCTTCGCTCTTTTCGGCCGTCGTCTAACTAGTATATACTTATAGTACGGTACATTCAGGTCGATGACCTAGGTATTTTGGCTGATCGGACAGGCAGGAAACAAGAGCCGAAGGACCCAGAGAGCTGTCATACGAGAATCTAATCTTTACAATTGCAGGTACTATATTTCTAACCAGGTTGTCTCCTTGCCTTCGCATAACATCCAACCAACATCTGCAACTGCACACACAGAGGCCTAAAGATAGTTGGCCTGTCTGTTTGAGGATCGCGATGCGAGAGAGAGAGAGAGAGAGAGAGAGAGAGAGTTACCTTACAATGCGATGTCAAATCTGCCCTGATCGCAAACTAGAATGAAAGGAGATCGATCCCAACCTCTCGCTATAAGTACGTATTCCTTGCGGTCTTTAGTCCAGAATCGGACTGGCCCCTCCTGCAATACCCACGCCAGTTTATGCAGGAGGTTCGAATGCAACAGAGATCTGCCAAGATACCAAGAGACTAGAACTTATCCCCCACTCCCGTGATTGTCACTACCGTCACGTCCATTTGATGCCTTCTCCTTTCCATTGCCTGGGTCTACCCTCAATCGGTGCGTAGCCTGTTTTTTCGCTGTAGGACCGTCGACGTCGCTCGTTAGCTTTGTGTCATATCGTCTGTTTACCGTCATCGCCCAGTTTGCGACTATATGAATTGTCGGGCTATGGGCGCGACTAACAACAACGCTGTTCTCTAGTGCTGCGGTTGAAGGGAATTGCAAAAGGTAGAGTGACCGAGCGTAATAGTGAGAAGGAGGCGCGACTGTCCTGGCGACGTCGCAAATACATCGAAACGCGATCGAGACTTAAATCTCTACTTGAGTTGATGGTGGCTGTTGAAATCGACGGCCATCGCCAGTAACAATGAGTAGCGCTCGTGATACTACCTCGCGACTTCGCCAGAATCTCAATCCATTGCTGACGTCGGCGCTGGGTTATCGTAACCAGCTGAATACGCCCCAATCGGCTATATCGGTGAGCTCGCCGCACATGCTCGGCGGCATAACACCAGCCAGCTCGATACAGCCGTACAATCCTCAAGAATGGATTCCGTCGCCCGCTGTTGGTCCCGAGAGGACACACCAATACCCTACACAGCCCGCCTTTCGTGATGCGCAGCCAGGTAAGCCTCCGCGCCGGTTCCAGATAATATACAAACATAGTATTTACTCAAATAAAAGTCGCTGCCCCGGCACCTCCACCTCCGTATTCTCCTCCGCGCAGCCAACGACCTGCTCCCACCAACTATGAGACACCCCCAGCTAGCGCATCTACTATCCGTATACCATCCGGTGCTCATCGACCATCGCCGGAGCCGATCCCCCAAAACTTTCCACCGCCGCCGGGTGCGACAGAAAGAAGAGCTT